CAATGCTACGTCTTTTTTGCTTTGGATGCTAATTGTTCTATGTTTAGATTTATCGTTCCTGATATTAGTGCCTTTCTCATTAAGTTGGTTTCGTTTTTCTCTTCGGTCTTGACCTCTTGGTTTGCATTAATTAGCTAATATACACATTCGGTTGTCTTTACGGAGTGTCTGTGCTTGGGGTATAAAGTAGAGCCTTAAAACTGTTATTTTCAATTCCTAGGGGCCCTTATTATTACCAAAGCCACCAACTTCTGTATCAACAGTTGGTACACCTCCTCCCAATGTGACCTTGGCTCCTACCCAAATTACTCAGCAGCAGTTCAATTTGAGTGATCTTGCCATTCTACTGGCAACTCAGAGGAATCTGCAAGGAATACCAAATGTGACTTCTATGTCATTTTCCGGTGGTAACCTGCAGGATGACTTAACCTCGATTTGTAGCAATCTCTTTGGTTCAGCCTCTTCTGGTCTTCAGTTAACTTCTCAAACTCTACCGCTACCACCGCCGCCGCCTTTAAATCGATCTGACAGTTTACTAAAGCTCCTAAACAGCAATAATAATCAAGCAGAATCTGGTGCCTCGGTTGATGCTCCGGAAAATGGGTCTTCTGCTTCCAACTTGATACTACCACCGGGCTCCTATTCTCCTTCCGGTTAGCTCTATTTTCTCACATTCATCAGCTTATTCCAACTTTAACCACTGACTGATAATTGAGTTGTTTTTTTAGAAAGCCACAAAGAGCAATCTGTAGCAAGTCCGCCTTCTAATTCTCTGCCTTCAGGTTCACGTAAACGCAAGCGGAGATCGAGTAGTGGAGCTAGTTCTAGTAACGGTCCTGTACCTAGAAAAAAGACAAACGCAGCCTCCTCAAATTCAGTGGAATTAGCCACTCAAAAGGCATCTAATTCAAATCTTAGTTCCAATTTCAGCAGCCCTTCGCAACTCCACGAAATGGCAACTCGAGTGCTCATTGTTACTTTAGACTGGCTTAAAAGATGCGGTCCTCTAGAACAGTTACCGTAAGTTATCTCTTTTTTAACCCCTTTGTGTGTTCCGGGTTACTTTAACAGATTTTCATTGGATGACTGCTCTACACGTTTTCCACTTTTTGTTTCGTAGATTTCTATTAGCTCCCTAATTCTTCAACTGGTGTGTTATTGGCTAAATTTGACTCTATTGCGAAGGTCGTGCAGTTTCTGCTCCTTTGTTCTCTTAAATTATACCCGATTAAGAACAATTGAGAGAAGAAGAAGATGTACTTCAGCTCTACTCATATCTCACCTTTTGTTCCACTTGGACTGCAGATTTACCAAGCTTAATAAAACGCTTCTAGGAGATTGTTGCGTGCAATTGAAGTGGAGCCATTTTTCCTAACTGATCTAAACCAGACCTAGTATTGAGATTTCGTTTTATTTCACAATCCCCTTTCACGCATCCGAGTCTACCTGGTCACTTGCTCAGTGCTAATGAATACTGATTGACTCTGATTTCTGACCATCCGGATATCTCCGGAAATTCGATTTCGTCCACTTTCTTTCAATTGCTTCATTCTTTTTTTTCAACTAAACTGCTCGTTTGTTTTCATTTTTGTTCGAGATTCAATTCTTGAGACTATTTGCAAACATTTTAATTTTAAAGGAATGTGGAATCGTTCCATTTTAGTAGTAGATGGACAGATAGGTGAGTGACCTATTCGTGACCTAACCTTATGATGGCTTCAAATCTGCAAATTGCTATGACCCTAGGCTGCCCTCAGCCAGATTAGTCAGTTACTTAACCTTGTCCAGGCTTATTTGGTTGAAGGGGAGAAGTTTCGCTTTCCACATGGGGTCAGATTTCGGTTAATGACCCCTAGGTCATTGGACGGTCGTATTCTCCGTTTTAGTTTGCATCCCCCCCTCCCCCTCCTTGCAAGTGGATTCAGGATGTCGGAAACCGTACCTTGTAGGGAAATGTTAAAGAAGTGCTAAATATTCCTATTGTTTATTGAAGTAATTTATTTAGGCTGAGAGAGAGAGAGAGAATTTACAAACTTCACCGAAGCATAGAAAATAGACACCTATGTGACCTGTAACCTGTGTCAACCCGGTCACCTTCTCACCTCGCACAGAAAAATATTAATTGTGATGGCAATTTTTTTGTGCTTTCCCACTTGTTTTGCAAATAATAATTTTGTTGAATCAAATAAATAAATGTTTGTAAACTACTGCATGCCATACTTGAGTTACCATGCTCACTACCGTGTTTAATTTAACCGAGATTTTATCGCTATTATTGTTGCTGGTTTGATTTGGATTCAGAGATTGCGTTCCGAACATCTTCATACTTTCATTCATAATAGTTTCAAAAGCTCATATAATTCATCTATGTTGTGATTACCCAAGTAGTTTATAGAAATAACAAAATTCTATTACTTTGAGTACTCGTGATATCGTTTAGCCGTTATGAGGGTTGTTTTCTGCTCTAAAGTTTCAACGTGATCACAAAATGACTTTTGGTAGTAATTTATGAGATTTACTCCTCATGGTGGTATTTTATTAATAGATAGGTTAAACTGTTTCGGGGATTTCAGTTCTCCTGTCGACTCTTGAGTGTAAAATGGGCATTGACATTGGATTGATCCTTTTCAGGCAGCGTATTGAACTAGACCCGGACACATCATCCTCCCCGGACCTAAATTTGACCCAAATTCTCATCGATGACCAAGCATTTGACCTAACATGTGGTGTTGATAAAACTCTCTGAATACCCACTCTTCCGGTTTGTGAAGTAAATTATCTGAAAATTACCCGGATTAAGGTGTAGTTTTTATTTTTTTGAAGTTCCCATTCAAATTGTGGCATTTTGTGATTTGTGGTGGAAGTATTTAACATCTCTGGCAGGTTTTACACACGTCGACTGTGAGAAGTTGTACTTTGCATGTGTGCTACTTCAATCTCAGTTTAGTGTAGTTTGCAGTGATAGTTTATTTTTAAATCTGTCGCTTTCCATTGAATTCATCTTACATTGAACCAAGTCTTTGAAATTACCTCGGTAAACGTTTTCGCGTTTTCAGTAATTTTATTTTTTGCAATCTGGATTGTAAAATACGGTTAATTGAGCGACTATTGATGCATTCTAAGGATTATCTATATATTTATTTCAAATGGCAGGCGTTCTGATAGTTATCATTAGCCCTTTTGTTGACTTCAGGCTTCACACAAGGGAAGAACATCAAAATGAGAAAAAGTCGAGAGGGCGGTGGGTAGAAGAATGAATTAAAGATGTAAAAGTGACACAGACACAAAGGCAGAGAAAAAAGAGAGGTGAGTACTGTGGTAGTGGTCGAATATGGCATACAGTGGGGTAATGGTAGTTTGAAGTGAGAAGTCAACTGCCGGTTAATAGACTTTTATGCCGTATGAGTATACATTGCCCAGTATGCACCACGTGGAGGTAAGTCTATCGCACTGTGTGGAGAAAATGTTGGTTTCAAGTCCAAACCGCTTTCCTTCCCACACAGAGAGAGAGAGAGAGAGAGCGTGTCAAAGAGAGCGTCTT